TTAAAAATATCTAACCATAGATTCTTAAAATGTGTACCAAATATTTATGTTGATATATTTTAGACATGATACAATTTTTAAAATATTTTGGGCTGATTTAAGGTATTTACCAGTATTTAAAATTTTAGTATTTTCAGTTTTTTTCCATTGATGTTGACAGAATTTTGTTTTATGTCAAAATCTTGACAAATGAATTAATACCAAACACTGTGTTATCAAAAACACGTTGTCAATTACTTTTTTAAGTTTATCGCTTATAACATAACTATATTATTAACATTATTAACATGTATTAAGTTAAATTGGATATTCAAATAGCGAGTGCTAAATTCAAATTGTTATAGCATTTGGTACACATTCTAACGTAGAGATAATAACAAATTAGCCTAAAATGAATTTATTTTTGTAATTCAAAAAAATATGAATTGCTGGTGAAGTATGCTTTTAATAATCTACTAATACTTTATATTATCATTTCTGCACACACTGACATTTTAAAAATATTAAAATTTACTTTTTACTTCAAAAATTTTGAAAATATCATACAAAATTCCTCATAAAGGTTGTACTAATGGTAATTTAAAAATATTGAAAATACATAGGAAAAACTTTTTAAAAACTGTTTAGAGTTAGAATGTTTACAAAACTAGATATTTAAATGAAGAATTACGGCTTTTCTTCAAACATTTTAGTTGTTTGGTTGTTATTCAAAAAATTGTTTTTGGAAAATTATTTTTTAGTTCAAAATTCATTAAATTATACTTAATTAGCTTAGGTTTTGAAAGTGTAATTCAAGATTCTTTATAAGTTTTTCTAGCAGTAATTAAAAAATATCAAAGGTATACGTATCTGTAAAAGTGTTTTTTATTACCAGTCCAATGATGGGGCGTCATAACGATGAATACAGCAAAACGTAGTTTTCCGAATTCTTCTATTATATAGTGCAATTTATCTGAATTTTATTACCTCAAATTTTAAACTTCAAAATATGTACTTAATATTTTATTTATAGCATTTTGAATCGCTTAAAAGTCAAAATTGAATTACTATATATAGTGAATCGGCTTAGAAATTTACAAAATACCTGATATAGGCCTCCTTTAAAATAATATCAAGAACATTTAGAACTAAATATATTTACTTTTTTGGGTTGAAGTATTCAACATATTTTAACTCTATTTATTCTATATAAGTTGTACTATAAAAGCAGTTACGGTTTTATAATATTAGAATACAATATCAACTATCAGAGTAAAAACAAGTAGGTACCGTATCAATTTTTATTATATATATTTTATACTTTTAATAATATTTAAATATTTTTTTCAATAAGAGACATGTCCACTTCCAATAAAATGTATGTTTTATTGTGTGATACAAGTTTTGCACATATACAAACTTTCCATATAACGTTTTTCACTCTTTGGGCAAAGAGGATACGTATTCTGTACATAATTTAATTTAATTAATTTAGGTACTGTCCATTATACTGCGTAATAAAAATGTTTGAATATAGTGTTTAGATTTAGGACAATAATTAATGTACCACCTAAATAATCCTTAAAAGTTAAAACGCTTATGTGCACTTATAATAATATGTAATTAAAATCGTATTAAATACTGAATATCGTAATAGTTTTAAATTATTTATTTAATTTACAAAACTGAGTACCTATGCGGGATAGACGATAAGTATAATACTTGTGAGAAAATGTGCACGTGACCGAGTAACACCATGGGTAACGTCGTCTTTATATTTAAAAAAGTATAATACACAACTATGTATAGCCTATAGGTGGTTTAGATGATAAAAAAAATAATATTTACAAAATATAATATATGCATCATAAAAAGCTAATTTATTTACGTAATGGAATATTCTTTTTAGTTTATATCATGTAATTATTATTATTTTACGGTAAAAACAATAAAAAGTTATAAAAAAAAATTGAATGTGCTTGGAAAAAATAAAAACCAATAAAAATGTTAATTATAATATTTTGTGCAGATTTGAGAAGAAGTATTGTCTTTTATTTTAATTACAAGCGATAAAATATTTCAAACAAAGTTTTTTGTAAGGGATAAATTTCAACAAATTATCATATCATGTATATATTATACATATATTGAAGAAGTATTCATTTCAATTATTAAAATAAATTATCTCAATCAAATTATGGTATTGTGTATAGGTATAGGTGATTTGATTATGAAATCATTTACAAAAACGTAAAATGTTTAACATTTGTAATTTTCAATAATATTTTATATTCAATTTTTATGATTTACTATATTTTAGGGGTATATATAAAATGAATATTAATAAGATAGTTACATGTAAACAAATAAGCTCATTTAAGAGTTTATTAAAGCTGCAACTATATACATAATTGCATAATATTACAATATGCTTACGTTTTTAATATCTCTATTAAAGTGCGATTTATTTATAAATCATATATTATATAATATGCAATGTACATACATATCTAAACGTTAATTACGTTTTAAACGACCAAACATTAAAAAAAATGAGTTGCTCACATTCCATAAAATATATGTTAGCTTTTAACTGTATAAACCTTACCAAGATTTTGATCATCTTGAAGCTAGCAAAAAATAACCCTATTAAACTTTACCTCCCGTCTATTTAAGGGTTTTTTGGAATACATTACATTTGCATCTCAGTTCTAACTAAGTAACGACCGTTCTTGTATATAGTAGCATTTTTTTAGTTTTGGGTTATTCCAAATGTAATTTTTTTAATTTATTAATAAACCTGGAACTATATTTAAGACTTTATTTTAAATGAAACTCCAAAAACCCTGATTTCAATTCTATCACTTCGATAGTACATCAATAGATTATTAACATTTATCGGGATTATTTTATATCTAAACTACTAGAATTCATTCTATTTTCTTTGAAATCTTTGGGACACTTGAAAAACAAATATTACACTTAAAACTGAAATAAACATTTCATGTAGACTACACAAAGTAACACAATATAAAACTATGTTAACAATATTATATAATAATATTATTATTTTTTGTTCAACTGATGTAATTTCTTTTATTACCCAACGAAAAGACATTTTATCATTTTTCTCTGTCAAATTATTAAATTGAAACTATACAATTTATAGCTATGGTTTTTATTTTTGTATAAAGTCATGTAACGTCGAATCAGATACCTAATCGAAATGTTGTTTTGATTTTTAAATGAAATACAAATTTAAATTAACAATTGATCATAAATAAGCTATTTGTAAACAAAAATGTTAAAGTATATTTCAGTTAGTACCTTTACCATACGTCATTATCAATACATATTGATATAAACACTTGTTGATGCAAATTTTAAGAGTAAGTGAGACTTAGTTGTTATTTATTAGAATATAAATTGTTTTATTCATTTTCTGGTTGGTAAATACAAAATTGTGATGAATGTAATTATTAAGTATGCATATATTAAATACTATTTCAATAAGCAACTGATTGAAGATTGTTATAATATTACAAAAGTATTATTGTTATGCTATTTTATTTTCTATTCGTAGTAATTATATAATGAATTTGATAAAAATGTATTCCATTAGATTCAACAATACGTACATCGAGCGTTATTTAAAATGATACAAATATTTGTTTAATATTATAGGTACCTATTTTACGTTAAACGCATCTAATAAAAATGTTTATTGTCTGCAGTAAATTAAACCGTTCAACGGTGTTTGTTATATATTTTTGGCGTGAGGTAAATAAATAATAATATTACAATTCCCGCACGATAAAGAGATGCATTATCGTTCGTCAACATATTCGTTTTGTCGGGATATTATTTTCTGATTCACTGTCATGATGTTTTTTAATGACAGTATAATAATATTTATAATTTATAATTGATGGAATCAACTACACAGTGTACATCACTATTAACGACGTTAAATCAAACAACCAAAGCAAAATTTAACACGGTACAGTACTATAATTTTAACAAGTGTTATATTATATTAAAAATTGAAATTTTAGTTTAAAAATATTAACTTTTTTCCGTTTTTCGCATAGAAGTGGATGTTTGAAAAGTACAATATATATGTTAATTCTACACGTAAGCGTGATAAATAATAATGATATATAGTTGTACTATCGACTGTTACGACTCTGCAGATAGAAATGCGAACACATACAACTCAAAATGGTGTAAACGGTCTTCGGAACGCGATAAAATATCTGATCGACATATTATTATGTCATTATCGATACTCGTGGATGGTTTAATCTCGTCGAGCTTATCGTCGCACATACTCGCCCTTCTCTATAATATATAACGTTATACTCTATTTTATTTATATAAAAGTTTGAATGTACTTAATGAAAAATAAATAAATAATCTTTTAAAATAATAACTTGAATTAGCTTAATAATAAGTCATAGTTAAAGACATATAGGTATTTTGTCGGATATTTCGTACGAACTTAAAAGCAACAAAATTGCATTTTTTTTTATTTTCGAGTTTAAGCTTAAGCCTACGAATCTTAATAATCCCATTTCACTAGACCACAAAAATAAGAAAAAAATCATTCACGGAAACAGTTTTTTGTGAGGGTGCAAAGTTGCAGACCATAACTTAGCAAACAAATAAAAAAAAAGTATGTCTACCTATATTGTATAAAATAAAAATTAATATTTCAAAACCAAAATTACCCAACCCTTAAAAAACAAAAAAACCGTAACCGCTGGACGATTGCACGTGATCGATTTGTCCCGCCACGACTGGCATTCAAATAATAACTATTAAGTCAAACAGATTTCGCATTAATCTTATTACACGGCGCCATGTCCAACATATTAAATGTTTTTCGAAAAGTGGGGGGGGGGGGGGGGGTGAAACACCACCAAATATCTCGTCTTCGTACACGGCGCATGGAATGTTTGTATAGGCACTGAGCTCGGCGCCTGCATACATTATACAATTATAATACATTATGTACTCACACACACGAGGGCCTATATTATACAATAATATTGTTGGTCGTTTCGGCCGCCGCCTCCGTCACCGTCACCGTTGCCGCCATGTCGAAAACGAAATCGTCGCACGTACACTGTTTTACGCACGCACACACACACTCAAACCCACACACACACACACACACACACACACACACACACACACACACACACACACACACGAGTGGGCACCGCAACACACCGTCGCGCGTTAATATAGATTGTATTATTATATCCGTACGATACGACGGGCGAATACGCGTCTAGGGCCCCCAAACCACCGTCATCGCCTTCGCCGGCACGCGTCACGGAGACCAGTGAGACCGCGATGTGGCCGCCGCGTGTGAGTTAGGCGCGAAAACGTCACCACCGCGCGATGTCCTCCGTTCGCACCGGGACGAGTATAAAAACGAGCGTGACTCGCGCGGCCCGAGAGCGCACTGCGCCGAGACCGAGCTTGTCGTCCGCGCTGTAGGGCCGAGCGAAATCGGCGTCGGCGGCGGCGGCGGTGGCGGCGAAATAATAAAAACTGTAACGGTATGCCGTCGTTTTGAAGGCGCCTATGCGAGGTGTTTTTCGTTTTTTTTTTTTTCAATTCTTGCCTTATAGCCCCCACAGCAGGGCGAGAAATCGTGTCCGACGATTTTTAATTTTTTTTTTTTTTTTTTTTAATCCAATTCGTGGTTATGCGGCTTTTTTGGAGGGGGTGGGAGGAATTCAGTGGTGGAGAGTCGTTTTGAGGTGTGTTTTTGTTTATAGTAGTACGCAATCGAATGGGTACACGTTCATTTCATACGTACAATATAGGTATTTTAAAATGTCCAGCTGCTCTTGAGTTATGAACGGTGTAACACCGACCTGACTTTGGCTTATACCTGATGTGCATGGATAGTAGTAATATATTATATATTTTTATAAACACTTTGTTTTAGTTCTTCACTGCTGTTTTAATATTATTATAGCTATAGACAAATAAACTTGTTGACATGGCACTGAACACTGCGGTGTATTAGATATACTCTTAAAACATGTATCAACTTACATTAAAATATTAAATGGTATACCTAAGTAACGTCATATCATTTATCGTATTACACAGTCAATTAGTTCTAAACGCCGAGTGTTGATATCCAATTTGAATTTTGGATGTTATAGATGCGGTACGAGATAATTACTAATGAGTAATAACGAATCAAATATTTTTATTTTTCCAAATATTTTTTAACGATCAAATTGTTAAAGAAACAACTGATGGCACAGCTGTACCTCTATTCTAATGAAACAATTTTCTATACCCTAATTCTTAATAGTGAATCTCTAAATTTTAACATTAGATTTTAAAAGTATGATTAATAAAGATTTTAATTGATTTTGGTATCTGTTAATTATCAATGTGTTTCGTAGTTCACCCAAATTGTCTTTTCAGTTACACAGTCCTACTTTACCTTGAACTTTATGAATTTGAAATCGTTAGCACTTCGTCATTTCTCTCAGTTTTCTAGAATTTCATTTATCAAATATATTGATAAAAAAAAAACTGGAGAATTCCCTCTACTCTATGGTAAGTTTCAACGTTAAAGTATATCTCGTCATTGTGTACGTTACTGCTAATTTTGAATTAAATCATAAATCCTTGTGTAGAGAAGTCCATCTATATTCTAGGAATACTTGCTATGATTTAAATAATATATTGCACTATTTTTGCAACAAATAATTGCATCGATATTTTAAAGTTATCAACTATTAAGTAGATACCAACTGAATAACGTCTCCTCATATTACTAGAATATTTTATAACATAGTAGTATTATATTGTTGCTACACACACAATAATTCATTTTACTATTACCCATAACAATATTACAAACTGAATAAAATTATGCAGAAAACATCGTATTTACTACATTATTAATTTATTTGTAAAAAAAAAACAATTGTTGAAACAAAAAAAATTAATAAATTCAAAAAAACTAATTTATTATTATAATATTATACATTTATATCATTTATTATTTTTATTACATTTTGAGTCAATACAGACTTACCGCAGAATGGTGTGAATAGGTTCATGGTACAAAAAGGCAATGCCTTAAATTAATTAAAATATTTTGAAAACGTCATTGTGTATAGTGTATAGAAAATATATTAATATACATAAAAGTCTCAAGTCCCCGTGAATAATATTTTTGAATTACAACAAAATAATTAAAATCGTTATTCTTTAATTAAATAGGTATCCAATTTAGTAAACATTTTAAATTCATGTATTCATAACAAATTTTTCTTTTGCATTATGGATATTTTTTAATAAAGGTAAACCATGTATCACATTTTCAAGTCTTAGCTATAAAAATTGAAAATTGAATACATTTTTCAAATATTTTCGTAAATTATAATCAACGCTAAGTGTCTTATAAATAATTAATTAAAAATTCGAAATTTTTTTTCTCTCGACCACTCAGAGTACAAATTACCCTTAATATTCCAACAGAAACAACCCTCAAGATTATTTTTTTTATGTTTCAAAAAAGGTGATGAGAGGTCACAAAAAAAACATTAAAAAGCATATTATTTACCTAAACACCTGCTCAGAATCTAACACCGTGTTTTTTACTTGAATTTTTCATTGATAACTATGTTTTAACTAACTTCAAATTTTATAAACGTGGAGTTATCATTTACCAGGATTTTTGTATGACTATCGAATGCATATTAATATTAATAAAAATATTAATATCGAAAATATAGTCATTAATGTTATTGTTAATGGTTAGAGGTTTTTAAATTCACTATCGACTCTATATCAACTTCATATTATCAACAATTGTCTTGTTGAAACTGAACGATTTAATTAAATATAAGTAACCACAAAAATCATCTAACAAAAATAACCACTTTATTAAAATATTACATTATTTACGTAAATAAAGTTTTGAAAATATGTATATAAATACGCATTGTATGTAATATTCAATATAATTAGTAATTTAATATTATTTTGGTGATTATATAAATTATAACTATTTTTATTTTTATTTATAAAAGTTTCCCTTCCGTTATGTCATCTAAACTTATTGTTAAGGGAATTACATATTTTTACGTTTGGAATTAGATAACAATGATAAATATTAATTATACGTTGTGTACTTATATTTTAATTTTTTTGGATGACTCGGAATTCGAATTTTATTACTTGTCTGTCAACTTCAAGTTAACCAAGGTAGACCGTATTTACATTTTACATACATTGATTTATTTTGGTTGTTATATAAAAACAGTTGCTTAAAGTAGCAGGCATTCTAGGGAAAAATTCAACCGGGAGAGTTATAGGGACAAAAATTCTAAGATGGTTGGGTTTATTTATTCATTTTGGATCCCAAACAACTATTAAGAAGTGTATTCATCAAATTTAGAAAATGATCGGTGAAAAAAGCTTTGAATGCTCCTGGTTCGTTTCAATAATCAGAGTGGTCAAAATACTTTATTTTATTCTTGGTAAATTAAAAATTTAGAAGACTTTTGATAGAATTATATTATTTCAATTTATTACATGAGATTTCTTCGTCATTCTTTGCACCATCCAATCTTATATGAGTTTCTTTTGCAAGCCAAAAACGTATTTTTTCCCCTTATAAGATAAAATTCATATTATATTATAAGTCATACAATTTATACTTTATGTATGGTCATATACATTTTTTATAGTTTATTTACAAATCTTAAATAAGGCATAAAAAATACCATTAGGTAGGTTATATACACATGAATACGACCCACAGAAAATATTAATTAAGCACTTTTTTATTTATTATAACACTATAAAGATACATGATATTTAAAAACAACAGTCACAATTTATAATATTCAATTATCAGAGAATATTTACTCGTATACCATTCAACCACATATTAAAAAAAAATTGCATTACTCGTCTATTTTCCCTATCCTATAGTATTACACCATAATTAACATAATTTTGATAAATATAAAAACTTTATTAGACAGAAAACATAATTTAAGTAGGATATTATCTATTTTTCATGTTTATAATGGTTTATAGTTCATACTAACTGAATAAATAAATTTGACTATAATCAAATAAATACTTGTAATAGTTCATAAAAATATAATCTGAACAAGCTATTAGACAATGATCAGTGATTAAGATAAGGACATAATTCTAAATTAAATTGAAAAAATTATTAAAGAAGAGACAACCCGTTCTACAACGAATTTCCCTATTCAAACTATTAATAATGCATTTGGTGAAAAACTACACCCTCCAGTTAAATCAAAAGAAATATCAAATTGCTTTAACGATTGCGTTACAGATGCACTACAATACATGAACAATCATATAAGACATACAAGACAAATGAATAATGAAACATTCAAACATAATATAGGCAATACAGATACTAAGCAACTTAATCAACTAACTTCAAATACCACAGAAATATCGCTCAACGAAATTGTATTTATGTTACAAATGATGCTATACCATTTAAACGGATTCTGAATTAAAAGAAGAACTATAATTTATTAAGTTTACATGTTTAAAAAAACTCTTTCGGCTAAACAATGATTCAAGCGAAGAAACTTCAATGATTCATAGTGTACCCCAAGGAACTTCATTCTCACACTATTTAGTGTACACTATACATAATATTATGTACCTAAATGAAATAAATGATTTGAATGCACATGACCAACAATAATTTACTATGCCGATGATTAGGCAACGCATTACGTGTACATTAACTGTATGTACCAATATCACCTATTCACCTGTACTTGATTTTTCAAAACAAAAATTTAAGGGAAGTAAAATTCTTGTAGCCACGAGTGGTTAAGCAATGAGTGCCAAATACTTGAGGATTAGTGTATACTACACGCTCGAGTTAGGTTTTTACTACCTGGAAAATATACTACATTACTGGGTAGTGAGTACCCAATTAGATTAAAATATAACTTTATCTTTTATGCTATCTTGAACCGTTGAGTTTATATATGTGGACAAGCACAATTTTCCGTAAGAAAAAGAGTTGTTTTTATGAACCATGTCGATCGATTGGAATAATTGTTCCTTGACCCACTGATCTTGATCTACATTGACGTAACGCTTTTTGAAACAAAACTTTGCACAATTCAGGGGTTGGGGATTGTCATTCGCATATGTGGAACTGTATACTCTAAGCTTTATAAAAATATGTTTCGAGTTTCACGTATTTTGTCCTTATGCGTAAACCCTTTCTGTATCATCTTAATATTGTTATATTATGTCATCATACTTCTCAAATATACTTGGCAAGGTTAGATTCATTTATGCTTAGGTTTTTAGCTCTCTTAAATTGCCATAAATATTTTAATGTCAAAAATAGATTATTCACGTCACTCATAATATGTGGAGTTTTTCAGGCGGATCTTATGTTTGACAACGGACAAGGCAGCGTC